CACTTCGCTTTATAGGGTAGAGTTGTCAAAATATCGATGGCACTATCGATAGTATCGATAGTTTCAATTTTTTTAGACTATCATTGATAGTTTTTTCTTATACTATCAAAAATATCGATAGTTTAGTAGGACTATCAATCATCTCTACCAACTATTTTGAAATTATTTGAATTTTTTAATTTGAATTAAAAATTTTGTTTTTTAGTGTGATGCCGACGTCATATTCAAATATGCACGCATTTAGGCCAAAATACATACATATGTTAATCGTAAATCCTGTTTTGTTTGTATAAAGCGAAGCGCTCATTGGCGCGATTCTGTCGTTGCGAATCCGCAAGCCCAAAAATTACAACAATGCTACCCATACATTTTAATGCGCTAGCGCACACTTGCACGATTCCGTCGCTGCGAATTTTTCGAACATTCAATGTTCCTCTATTAACGCGTTCGAAACGCGGCTTGTAGCGTTTTGAAGGCGTCAAAGAAGAAGAAGAAAGGTGTCACAGCAATAAAGGCAAAGAAAAAAAAAGTGTAATGTACAAAAACTAATAAAAACGTTCGTAATAATAGTATTTTGTACGATTTGGGCACGCCGAGTGCGAAAATACACGAAATAAAGGGAAAATTGGGTGAATTGTACATCGGAAATCGACGCGAAAAAATCGCTCAAGTGTGCGCACGTTTGCGGATTCGAAGTTAACAGCCGAATTCGCAACGTATTCGCAACGATGGAATCGCGCTAATGTGCGCTTCGCTTAACTTGTGTTTGTTTTTGAACTTTCTTAAAAGAAAAGTATTTTGGCTAAGCATTTACTTAATTTTGAATGATTATAACTTTTATAAGATAATATTTTTTTCAAAGCAACCTAACGGATTTAGCACTATCGATAGTGCTATCGATAGTTTTCTTTTTTTCGAGACTATCGTGAATATTGATAGTTTTTTCTGAAAACTATCAAAACTATCGATTGTGTGACTATCGATAGTTTGACACCTCTATTATAGGGCATTGTATAAAATTTCTGTATATGACAACAACGAATTTGCTGCAGTTTGACCAAACAAAGTTAGTTTGCTGTGAGAGTCGCCAAACTCGCTCTCTCCGAGTTTGCTGCAACAACAATTGCACGCAGTTTGCCAAACAAAATTTCTGCACAACACCGACCTAAGGGATTTAAGGAAGTGTCAAAACTCGAATGTCACTATTGAGCAAACCTTTAATTATTGTATCATGCCATGTCCCCACCAAAAAGTTAGGTCGGTGTAAAGCTTAAAGAGAAATTCATAACAAAATAACTATATGTATTAAAGAGGCGCTGCTAGTTATAATTCAACGTTCATGTTCGACATTTTGCTAAAAATTAATTATCTTAACTATTGTCAGGAGACAATTATCAGCGTTTTCGACAACTAGTAATTATTTTTTTATTCTATTGAGAGCATTGCCCAATGTAAGCGCGCCGTAGTGTAAATTTTTTGGTTTTTTTTCTCAAACTGGCAGTTCAGTGAATGTCTGAATAGATCTGGCAATGTGTTCGCCATTTTGTTTCATCCTCGAAAATAGAAAATTTTGTGGTAGTATACACAAGAAATCAAGTTTGCAAATTTTGCATTTCTTTTAGAAAATCTATTGTATCAGAGAAAACTCTTTAAAATGTCTGATATTGTAAAAACTGAAGATGGAGCTAAAAAAGTAGTTAACATCGACTTGTCGGAAGAAAGACCAAGTTCTCCTAAAACAACGGATGATGTATGTAGCATGGAAATATCTTGTTCATATTTTGGTGATTTATTACATACTTATTTCCAAATTTCAGCAAGATATCTGCGAGTTGGAACATTTGCGCAAATTATTCGTTGGAGGTCTATCGGGGAATACAACTGAGACAAGTCTAAAAAGTTTTTATGGTAAATGGGGCAATGTAGTAGATGCCGTGGTAATGCGTGAACCGACATCCAAACGTTCTCGTGGTTTCGGTTTTATTACATACACTAAAGCCTCTAGCGTTGATGAAGCCCAGAAAAATAGGCCCCACGTTATAGACGGCAAGTAAGTAGAATTATATGTATGGCTAATTTTTTACGTAGTGCCTTAAGCACCATAATATATTTTGTCTTATATAAAATGTTCCAACAACCCAACAAGCAAAATAAACAGTAGTTTTTTTAAGTTGACCAAAAATATAAAGCTCACAAAACGATCATTCTTGTCGTTAACCTTTTTAAAGTTAAATGATTTATATAACTTCGCTGCCAACACTTGTCAAAGGACCATTTGCTAAAACTTAGTATAAAATTAATACTAAAACGCCTATTTAAAACCTGATAAAGCAAGCTTACTTTTAAGTTAATATTAAAAACACTTACAGAAGTGCTTGTTGGAAAAATATACTGAATACATATCGCACGTTGGATAATATAGAGATCGTAGCCTGGGTAAAAGATTGTCGTAAGCGTCATACGTACGTGCGTAACATACGACAATCTTTTACCCAGGCGACGAGATGTAATTCAAAAATTACGTTTTTGGAGATTCCATCATACAATTAATAAGCTTGATAAAGAGAATATGTTCAGCCTAAAAGTTGGCTAAACTGATTGATTAAACTTTAATTGCGTTTCCCACAAAATTTAAAATTTTAAATAATTCTGTATAATATGTTCAAGATCCCAGTCGACAAAATAAGCGTTTCTAAATAAACACCATCATGAAGGGATTTTTCAATAAGAAGCTTTATTAGAAGATCTTTCAATAGCTTTGCCATTTGAAGGCAGACGGTGTGTTTCCAAGCAACCAAAGTCCAATAAAAGCAATAATCCTAGTTGAAGCATCGAGGTTAGAATGGTGGCGGAAAAACTATTTCTGCGCTGGTAATAAACATTCTTTAACCGGTAAATAAAGCTGGCAATTGTAACCGGTAAATTTTGTTTCCATCATAAGGTGGGTACAAAGTATTATCCCGTGAAATATGCAATGCCAGAATTTCCACAATTCATAGCTGAATTGCAGAATATTTTAACTGCATTACCAACGTACCTAGAATCGCGGTGACAAGCACTGGTAACATTTTTTGGTAATAAAATCTTCGGGATGGGCGGGTTCGGGGCCAAAAATTGAATTTGAGGATAGGCGGGATCGGGGCTAAATATATAGTCCAGCGCCCATCTCTAGTGTGGAGTTCTACCCTGAAGTCGTAATGTAAAACTTATAGTTAAATAGTGCTGAAAGTTTAAAGGCGTCCACGCCAAGTTTTTAGGTTGGATGGCTTTCAGCGCTCACGCCGAAAAAAATGTAGCTGAATAAAGTGCAGTAAGTGGGAACGGCAGTAGACGCATGTGTTCTAGTCAAAACGCCGAAAAGGCTTTTATGGTGTTCTACTCTAATTGCTGAATATCAATTTCCTCCAAATATAAAACATTTCAGCCATACATATTTTTATTCTTATTATCACCAACATTTCATTGAATATAAGGGTATTTTTCCATATGTATCAAATTGATGCATAACGTACTTTGTGTTACAAAAAATTTCCGATGGATGCGGGTTAAGCAAGAAACAAATTCGACTTCAAATCTCATATAAAAATTAAAAATAGTGCCGTTAATTTCTGCAAGATCCAATGCTCGGATCTGAACCAAATTAGTATGAGGACTACCTCTGAGGTACAAATTTTCGTTTAAAAATAATTCGATTCGATTAACGTGGTTCAAAGTTATACGGTATATAAAAGAAAAAAAAATATTTCGATCAATTGATAAACTCCTCTTTTTTATGAAGTCGGCTAAAAAAAAAAAACATAAAAAGTTCCGTTGTTATAAATCCTGATTAAAAATTTTACGCAATTTTATTGATTTTTTTTTTTAACTTTCGTCCAAAGTTTTGAATTCGGGTCAACGAATTGATCAAACTTTGATTGTGTTTTCCCACAATAATAAAATTTTTGAAATAATTCTCTTTTGAGTCTTTGTTGCTTAACAATTCGGTAAATTTGGCAGCGAAATCTATAACAACACCTTCACATGCACTACACGACACTTTCTGGTATCATATAAATACTTACAAGAGAACCATCAAAAGTAACACGTACGTTTCAAGCATTCAACACATTCTGATACATCAGACCAATTCTAACTCGCCAATACCAAAAAAACCTACGGAAAACATTTCGACTAGCACTAACATAACAATAGATACTACGATTAGTTCATATAATAAAAACAATACGTGTGCTCATTTCTTAATAAAAAAAAACACCTACTTTAAGAGGGTCTTACAAAACGGTACAGCAGCTTATGCGGCCATAGAACAACAAGCCAACGGATCCGCCTATATGGGGTTCGGCAATCTCTTCTAACACCTTACGCCGACAGTTTCAATGCAGAATACAATTTTCGATTCGTCATGCATCGAGCAAAAAGCAACATGCACTTATTTGCTCGGATAGCCTTAGCGTGGTGAAATCACTGCAACACGACGACGAATTACGAAGATTCCTTCTACGGATACCAGCTCACGTCGGTATAGCTTCCAATGAAGTGGCGGACGAAGCAGCCAATGAAGCTATAAAAATGCCTCTTATAATGGAATGTTTAAGCGCATTCATTAAAAAATTGGCAGACATCACGCACTTCTTTAAAACACACACAACTTAAAAGACCACACTATATTTAAATTTAAAGTATGTATTAAAATAGCACGAATGAGATTCGATGTAACTAACTTCAGCCCCAGACACCATTCTAGAGGCGGCAGATAGCCAGAACTGTTGAAAACATTCTCAAGGATTCCGCCATCTCAGGAAGTCAGGCTTACCTTGAACCAACACTCGACTGCAGTAACGAAACCAATATAAAGTTCATCAGCGAAGCCTTAAAAAGCACAATCTCCTACAGGAAGTATAACTTTAATGAGAGAACAACAACTCGGGAGCATGGCATCGCAGCCCATCCCCCCGTGCATATATTTTATAGATTTATTTACAAAATATAAAGATAAATAGAATAAATAAATAAATTCTCTTTATAATTAAAAGTGCGAAATATGTACATATGTATAATTTGAACGAAACCAAGTATGTAATTTGTATGTTACTGTGAACACAGTCTAAGTTCATCTTGAAAATATTTTCTGTCCTATTCTATTATTTTATGAACTCTTATGCATACTCCAAACACGTCTTCTTAAAACTTACTTACTTTTCCTTTAAATTTTCTTTTCTTACATTTCCTTTCTATTTAATAAAATCTTTTCTTGCAGGACTGTCGATCCAAAACGCGCCCTACCTCGTCCCCAACGGGAAACTCGCGAAACAAATATTTCGGTTAAAAAGCTTTTCGTTGGAGGTTTGAAGGATAATCATGACGAGCAAAGCCTTAAAGAATACTTCTCGCAATTCGGTAACGTTATATCAGTAAAGATCCTGACGGATAGAACAACTGGAAAGCGTCGAGGATTTGCGTTCATAGAATATGATGATTACGACTCCGTTGACAAAGCAATACGTAAGTTCTCGCTTTCAAAAGTTTCAACAAACAAATTCAGCGTTTTTTTTTCGTTTTTTTATTGCAGTACAAAAAGTGCACACAATTAAATACGTTGTGATTGATGTTAAAAAATCTGTGTACAAGCAAGGCCCTGAAGAAAAAGAGCCCGAAAATAACAAAGATGGACCAAAACCAGTGCAAGGGATTCAAAAACCAGCAGCTAATAATCGGCCCCCACCACCACAGACACCAATGCCACCTTATCAACCGGGACCGCCAGCTCCATACCCACAGGCTGCCCCATACAATTATTGGGGACCTCCACAGTATCCAGCACCACCGCAATATGGTCCATATCCACAGCCACCCGCCAATGCGTGGAATACCCAAAATGGCTGGAATGGTTGGAACGCAGGACCCCCAACACCACAAAGTGGCGCACCGCCGAACAATTGGTATCCACCAAATCAGTGGCAACCAAGCAATGTGCCACCACCAAATGGCCCGGCACCGCCCGCAAGCTGGAATGCACCACCAAGTGTACCGCCCCAACAGCAAGGACCGCCCCAACAGCAAGGACCGCCAGCTAATTTCGGTGCCGGTTATCAGCAAAACTATGGCGGCGGTCCGACTAAACATAGTGCACCAAACCCCAACAATCGCATGCATCCATATGGTCCACCACGAAATTCTAATTATGGTAAGAATTTTAGAATTTACTAAAAAAACTTGTAAATAATTATTAACATTTACAGCTAATGGTAACCAGCCACCACCACCACAGGGATTTAATGGATATGGGCCAAATAACCCACCCGCAGGGCCTATGCCAGCTGCTAATAACGGTCCACCAGTCGGGCCGCCAGTTAACAATGCTGCACAAATGGCTAATAAATTTAGGCGTTGAAACTTAAAGGTAATACAAATTTTCAATATTATTCAAATTTTTAAGTTTCGGCGATTTGCTAGGCATTTTTTTCTTGCGGGATTAAGTTAAGCTGGCTTCAAAAATATGTGCATATATTACTTTTTCCAAATTATCAATAGTTTATTTGATGTGGATTTGTATAAAAATAATGAGAATTTTAGAAAGTAGCTTGACGCCAAATTTGAACTCTAATTTGCTTGTAATTTAGCACTTATGTATTCATCTTTATTTATTTTACAAACCCGTATATAACTTTTAATTAAATTCTCTTTAATTTAGGTATAATACCGCAAGCTCAGTTTAGAAGAAATGCTTAATTATAAAACACAGAAGGGCTTTCCTGTTTTGTCTATTACACTAATAGGTCAATGCATAAAAGGATTATTATTTTAGAACTAAGCTATATATCGATATACGATATACATATATACATACTTTAAATATAGATATACTTATTCAAATACTTTCTGAATAGGATACTTTATGTTACAATAACATTGTTACTAGTTTTAATTAAATACTTAACACAAATTTGAAAGTTTATGGTTATATAAGATATATCGAAATTTATATGTATGCCAATTTTTTCGTTTCGGAAAATGTATGGAGCATTCTTAGGGCTTTTTGAGAGTTGTAATGAATGCGTAAGCTTTACCTTTAAATTGAAAATGTTCATATTAAGTCTAACTTATAATTGCACATGTTTGGCAAAAGTTGATAGGTAAGTTTATCCATGCATGGTTAATTGATATAAAGGAATTATAAACTTAGTTTAGAATAAAAATAAAAACTGACCTAGACTTATGTATTACTATGTAGAACCATTGAAATTATGTTATTGAAACTACATATAAATTAAAATGTATATGACAGCTCTTTCGGATATATAACCAGATTTATTTCACACATAACAATGTTCAAGAACACACAAGTTCGACGAAGCTACTTTTTATAATTTGAAAGATTATCAGTAAAGCTTAGCACATTGGATACGTTTGATTATCATAGATTATCAGTAAAGCTTAGCATATTGGATACGTTTTAATATTTAATTGTTAATAAAATTAAACACATGTTTACTTGCTTAAAATTGTATATAAAATTGCCGTTTGACCGAATATATACTATAATTCACCCAACAATTCTTTAGGAACCAATCAAAAAGTACCAAATACATACATAGTTTTATGTAGATTTATATCAAAATATTTTACAAGTATTTTATAACAGCAAATAATAAATAAAACTAGGAAATGGTTAAGAAGGTTCTATGTATTTTCAGAAGCAGACCATATGTATGTTTACTAGTTTTATCAAATAAAGTAAATTTAATCAAATAATTAATACCATTTTATGTATTTATTTTATTACATTACATACATACATTTAATAACGTATACGTAATTAGGTACAATACAATAATTAAAGTATACAGGTAAAGCGAATTAAGTTTGCTGTAAACAAAGAATTTGGTCCATAGGTATATATTTGATAGGAGACTAATAACTTAATCCGTTTAAATACTAAAACATTTTTGTATGTATGATATAAACTATTTTCATCTCATTTTATGAAACGGGCCGCCTGCAAAAGTTTCAGGAAAACAAATAGCCCAACAGTGAAGATGGCGTGGCTTGTCAAGACCGATTGGACAAAACTATGAGGATTACTTTCGGTTTCTGTAAAGACTATTTGCCGCGCATTTTGGGGTAAGTTTTCCCCCTCAAGCAGTGCATGAATATATTTTTCAAATTGAAATGTGTAATTTCGTTTTAAAAGAAAAAAAAACTATAATAAAAAAATAATAAAATAAAAAAGTGGCTGTATTTAATTAAATAACAAGCATCTCTATTATAACAGGTGAATATTGGCACAACGAATATAATGGGTTTTTTTCAGCTTCCTGATTTCAAGTAATAAATTAGTGTGCTCTTTCCACATTAAAGAGATGTTTATGTGGGCGTACGTCACACCTTGCCAGACTTTTCCCTTGGGACTGTTGTGCTGAGTAGTTAGCGGGGCAAACTACGCCAGATCCCACGTGACTCGGGTTTTACCCGACCAAGGGCTGTTGTTTCGGCGATCTAACCTCGTTTAGGTCGGCGAAGTATCTCAGAAGTTGTTCGTCCATAGGGCTACATTCGCAACGTTTTCTTCTATTCAGGGCTGGCAACGAGTCAATCCCAGAGCCAGAAACCTACACCTGCTGTGTATGCCAGGGACGACTACACCACAACTCCACCTCAGTCATGTGCAACGCTTACGAGGGGTGGAGTCATCTCAGAGTCTGCTCAGGACTACGGACACATCGGCAGTGGACCACATCGCACGTGGTCCCCTGCTGCTTAAGCCGAGCAGCCTCCACGGCTAACCCCAGTCCACCTGAGCAGTCCCACACAAACACCACAGCACAACAACATAACAACACAATAGACCACACCACAACCGCGACAGACCACAGAACACAAACAACCGCACCACCACCCACACGCCGCCGCCAACAACTCTTGGTTCCTCCTACAATCTGCACAGTATGTCAGACCAGGATATTCCGTAATGTGACATCAGTCAAGTGCAACACCTGCCTTGGCTAGTGGCACTTTAGGGCATGTTCAGGTCTGCGCACCACGCGAGATTGGACGAGGAACTTCGAGGGCCCGTGTTGCACAGCACGGTCGCAAACTTCAACCGCGACGCCACCCACCACCACCACAGGGCGACAACCACCTCAGCAGCGCACACAGCCAGTGGCGGCAAGGCCACACACATCTCTCACACCCCGCATTACCACACGTCTCCCGGCCCACATGTAGCTCCCTCAATTTAACTGCAACGGGCTTCAGAGCAAGATCGAGGAGATAACCGTCTTTATGGGAAGGCATGGTATACTGATAGCTGCGGTCCAAGAGACGAAGCTGCACAGCAATTCAACACTGTTGAGTTGTGCCGGGTACAACGTGCCCCGTCGAGATCGCGAGCGAGATAATGGTGGTGGCTTAGCGTTCATCACGCACCACACCGTGCAGTATCGTCTTATTGAAACAGACATCGACCGCAGGGATACCACCCTAGAATGTCAGGGCATCGCTATCCGGTCAGGCGATGTTGAGCTCGAAATATTTAACATATACATACCCCCTGTCACGATCGTAGGGGAACCGCTTTGGCTGAGCAGATAGACGATTCGACATTCTGCACAGTGAACGACGACGCACCCACCAGGATTATGGGCAGCTGCTGCAGCCCGCCAGACATAACAATAGTCAGCGCTGGTCTGATAAACAGCATATCATGGCGACCTGTGCTGACTTTGGCATCAACCAACCGACTTTGCTTCCGCGGAGCACCGAACATATATCAACTTTTCTAAAGCTGATTGAAAAGGCTTTGCGGAATTTACTGAAAACACCTTCGCTGCTCTCCCCACTCCAACCGACGTCCACCTCGGTGAACGTAAGTTCCGCAGGGCTGTCACCGCTGCTGCGGCTCGTTTCGTACCGGCAGGATGTATCACGGACCCACGTCCAAATTTCCCTGCTGAAGCGGCTGTTCTAGCCGATGAGCGTGATAGCCCGTATCAGGGATCTCAACGCGGAGATTCGGCAACTAGTAAACGTACATAAGCGGAAGAAGTGGGAAGAGCATCTGAAGACTTGTAACTTCACCTTTGGTGTGAGTAAGCTTTGGTCAACCGTGAGGTCACTGTCCAATCTGACGAAGCACGACAACAGAGTCGAAATTTCTTTCGGCGGCCATGCCTCGTCGGACCCGGAGCGATGCGCGGGCTATTTTAGCCGGCAGTTCATACTGCATCCTCCGGTGGACAAAACCAAGCGTCGAGTGACCAGAAGGCTGCACAAACTGCCAACAAATTGTGCCCCCATTGAAGTTCAGGTGGCCATCAGGAAGGCGAAAGCCTCCAAAGCCATGGGTTCCGACGGAATATGCATGTTAATGCTGAAAAATTTGGGTCCTGCGGGAGTAGCGTACCTAACGGGAGGTCCTCAATATCTCAATGGCCACTCTCATAATCCCAGGGGGCTACTCTGTAATGCGATGCGATAGGCAAATTCGTCGTAAGTAATACGCTGTGGCGATTGCCTATCGCATCGCATTACAGAGTAGCCCCCAGACATCTGGAAGGTGTGGAGAGTGGTCCCACTGCTCAAACCGGGGAAACCAGCCAACAAAGGAGATTCTTATCGACCGACAACACTCCTTTCGCCGGTAGCGAAGACACTAGAGGCCTTGCTACTCCCATATTTCACGAACCACTTGACCTCAGCGAAGCATCAGCATGGTTTCCTTAAAGTGCACAGTATTACAACAGCACTTAACGCCATAAACGTTCAGATAACACGTGGCCTTAACCGTAACCGTCCCTGTGAGAGAACTATTCTACTAGCGTTGTACCTGTCAAAGGCGTTTGGCACTGTCAGCCACTCCACGCTACTAGAAGATATAGAGGCTTCCTCTCTCCCACAGAGGCTCAAACGGTGGTTGGCAAATTATCTGAGTGGTCGACACTCGTAGGTAATGTTTAGAGACAAATCGAGCAAACTTAGGAAAATTAAACAGGGGGTTCCACAGGGTAGTGTCCTATCCCCGCTATTGTTGAACTTTTATATTTCAAAGCTCCCTCAACCACCAGAGGGAGTCACGATTGTCTCCTACGCCGACGATTGCTCGATCATGGCGACTGGGAATGGAATTGATGACCTGTGTTCGAAAGTAAACGGGTAATATCTCCGATCTTTATCGCTTCTTCACTGCAAAGTGTCTAGCCCTCTCCCCTACGAAATCCTCTGCGACCTTTTTCACCACCTGGAGTTCAGGCTACCGCTGGGAATTCACGTCGATGATACACCAATTCCGACAGCGAATAACCCCAACTCCCCCCCATACTCGGAGTAACCTTCTACAGTCTGCTCTCCTTTTCTGCGCACGCAACCGCTATTGTCAACAAAGTACAGAGCCGCAACAAGGTCCTCAAGTCGCTAGCCGGTAGTACTTGGGGCAAAGACAAAGAAACGTTGCTGGCAACATACAAGGCAATAGGCCGGCCGGTTTTAAATTACGCAGCACCAGTGTGGTCGTCGGGTACTAGTAGGATGCAGTAGATGAAGCTGCAGACGACGCAAAACACCGCACTACGGACAGCGACTGCATGCCTTCTGATGTCGCCTGAACACCACCTACACGACGAGGCGAAATTGCTCCCGATCAATGAGCATAATACAATGCTCTGTAAGCAGTTCCTTGTTGGGAGCCATAGACGTGGCCACCCAAATGGGCAGCTGCTCGCAGAAGAGCCCTCGCCCAGGCACGTCAGGAGGCATCTCTACGAACTGACGGACGAAGTCCAGAGGTTCATTAAACAACCTCTGGACCCGTCAGCTTATCGACAGGCCCTGACGAGTTATGTAGACTCCAGACCTGTGAATGCCGGGGAGACAAGAACCACAATTACCCAACTTTGCTCTGGCTACTGCAACAGGTTAAACTCATACCTGAGCAGACTAAACGCAGATGTACCAAATGAGTGTCCGGCATTCGGAGACACCTCATGACTCGAAACAACTCTTCGTATGCCCGGAAAACCCGACAACCCTAACGCCTTTGTCCATGTGGACCGACCCTATTGAGGCTGCACGCTTCTTGGGGTTGCCGTTAGTGGAACTTGACGGCAACGACTGAGATATTAACCGATCTGGACGGGGTTGTTGTAGCCGCTAAAACAACAACAACCTGGACGAAGGCGCAAAAGGTGCACTAGGTGTTGAAAGCTTTTGCAGCCTTCTGTTCACTCGACATTTGGCTTTGTCCGACGGAGGTTGCAGCGCAGACTGTCGAATAAAGTAGCTTGCGCATCCCTCAGGGCCCGAAGAAGCGCGGTTGCTGAAACAGATTTCGACTCTGTCGCCATGCTTCGTCAGGTTGGATAGTGACCTCACGGTTGACCAAAGCTTGCTTACATCAGGGATGAAGTTGCAAGTCTTCACTTCTTCCGCTTATGTGCATACGTTCACAAGTTACCGAATCTCCGTGTTGAGATCCCTAATGCGGGGATTTCCGGGATCGGAGATATTTGATTTTGTCCCTTTTTTCGGAAAAAAGAACACAGTGCGCGTTCAAATACCGCCGGTTTGTTTCCTCCTGACATAGTACAACGTTCGCCCATATTCCGCTTCATGATTGGTGTTGGGTTGCGATTCGCCTACGATCCTGCAACGCGGCAAGTTATGTATGTTAGTATAAATACCATCTGTGTAAAAACCATTTTCATTCGCTCTGCGCCACTTGCCAGCATTTCCAGCGGTGAGCTAGCGCACAAGCGTTTGGTTGTATGTACATACATACATACATATATACATATTTATGTATAATTCTTTAACCATTTGTTCGCATCCACATCTGTATCTGGAACTTGCATATACTATATGCACGAATAGCCCACAACACTTTCGGCTTTTGGGGCACACATAGTTGAAAACATGCAAACATAAGCATAATAATGCATCCTATGTACATGCATGTGGGGTACAGCCGACTTTCTTGTAGATCAGTCGCCTGGTGCTGTCCGAACTGTTTAGATCGTTTAATTGAAATATTTTCTATGCTGTTCAATTTATTTATTTTTACTTTTTTCTTTTTTTGCAATAGTGCTTTCCTTCTTATGGGAGCTATAATTTGTTTTTAGAAAT